TTATGTCGTTGTCCGGTCTTTTTGTTCTGACGTAATCACCAACTTTCAGATTCGTTTCTCTGGCATTTCTCCTCTTGTCAACATAAGATTTCATCTTATCTTGTCTTGAAGCGATATAAAGTGATCTACTTTCGATGTCTGGAGGAACCGGATCTGGAGGTTTTAGATTTTCTAAAGGTAGTTTTATTTGTCTTCCGATCATTAATTCTGAAGGTGATTTCTTGGTTAAGGAATGCGGTGTAGCTCTGTAAGTTCTAAGAATAAGACGTATAGCTTCTGCAAAAGGTTTACCATCTTGTAAGTGAGCTTTTAAACCTTCTTTGATGACTCTATTAAAGCGTTCTACACCACCATTACACATCGGATTATATCTAGCAGCAAGTCTATGTTTAATACCTTGTGATCTCAGATAAGTTTCAAACTCGTACGATATAAACTGTGGTCCATTATCAGTAATAATTACTTCTGGTATTCCCCATCTTGAAAATAAATTCTCCAAAGAGTCAATGATCACCTTTGAAGTTATTTTAGAACATTTGATTATTTCAGGCCATTTCGAATGTAAATCATGTATCACAAATAACAATCTAGAGTCTTGAGGAGCGACTTGAACTTCTCCAAATATATCAATCTGAATTTCTTTCCAAGGAGATGTAGGCCATGGTATAGGTTGAATAGGAGGTTGAACGGGTCTAAGTGACTTTTCACTTAAAGCACAAGATTGACAGTTCTTTACAAAATCTTCAATTTGATGATCCATGCCTGTCCACCATACGGTTTCACGACAACGTTGTTTCATCTTAACTATTCCTGGATGTCCTTCGTGAGCCATAGTTAAAACTCTTTCTTGTAGACTATCAGGAATCACAGCACGACAACCTCGAGAGACACAAAAATTATCCCAAATTGACAGTTCATCCCGTAGACGATAAAACGATTGTAACTCATTTGCAACAATTTTAGGCCACCCATTTATAAGAAAATTTCGAACTTGCAAAAGTTTATGGTCAGTTTCTGAAGCACGTTTAAGTTCTTCTCGAGTAACTAATGAAAAATCAATTTCTAAGACGGTAGCAGAGTCTATTTCCTGAATCTGCTGACTATTCGGATTATCGATAACTAATCTACTTAACATATCAGCTACTAAGTTTTTCGAACCCGTCACATATTCGATTTTGAAGTCATATTGATGTAAGCGATCTGACCAGCGGTAAATACGCAAAGGTTTGTGACCCGAACCTGCAGTTGCTAATAACGTAGTTAATGCTTGATGGTCAGTTCGTAGAGTGAATTTTCTACCATACAAACATACATGCCAATGTTCACATGCTAAAATACAAGCTAAAGCTTCTCGTTCGCCTGTGGAATATTTTCTTTCAGCTGAAGATAATGTTCTTGAATAGAAAGAAACAGGACGTTCTCTGCCATGAGAATATTGAGACATAACGGCACCAACAGCTATACCGGATGCATCCGTTGTGACGAATGTAGGCAAATCTGGTGAAAAATGGGCTAATGTAGGAGGTGAAGCGATTTTCTGCTTAAGTAATTCAAACGCAGCAGTATGTTCACGAGTCCATTGCCACTGGCTGTCTTTACGTAAAAGACAACGTAACGGTTCAGCTATATCAGCATAATTTGGCACAAATTTCAAATAAAAGTTAGTCGTACCTAGAAATGAAGCTAATTGTTTATTGTCCTTAGGTACTGGCAATTCTAAAATTGAGTCCACATTTGACTTTAGAGACTCTGAAGCCTAAAAAATCAATTTCCTGTGTAGCAATCATACACTTATCTTTGTTCAAAGTTAAATTATAGTCTTGTAAACGTCTAAGAACAGTTTCCAAACGTTGATTATGTTCACGCATGGTTCGACCATGAATAACTATATCGTCTAACATATTGAGTGTTCCTGGGCATCGGTCAAGAACCATGCTTAGAATTTTCTGAAAGGCACTTGGAGCGCTTGATAATCCATACGGACATCGCTTATACTGGAATAAACCATCGTGAGTTATAAACGTTGTTAAATGTTTAGCTGATTCCGCCAAAGGAATTTGTAGATAAGATCTACGAAGATCTAATTTAGTAAACACAGTAGATCCATAGAATTCTGCTGACAATTCTTCCATTGTCGGTAGAGGATACTTATTAGGAACAATAGCTGTATTAACATCTTTAAGATCGATGCAAAGTCTGATTTCTCCCGATTTACGTCTTGCCACAACTAAATTCGAAACCCATGTCGAAGAATCTACACGTTCGATTATATCTGTGTCCTCTAAACGTTTAAGTTCAGTAGAGACTTCTTGACGGACAGAAAATGGTAGACGTCTAAGCCTTTGAGAGACAGGTGAAACATGTTCTAACACCTGTGGGTTGTGTGAGAACTTTCTAATCCTTCCCAAACCTGAAAATACTGTTGGGTACTTTTGTAATATATCTGATGCTACAGTTTGAATTTTTTCACCATAATGAGACAGTTCAAAACCTAATCTATTAAACAAATCAAGACCCATTAAACTAGTACCAGATCTAGTAACATAAAACTCAAACTGATCTAAA